TCCCCTAGCACTGCTGTCCAGCACCTAATCTGAGCAAATCTGCCTTAATTGAAGGTGGCCCTGTGTGGCACAGAGCTGGGGACTGCTGTGTCCTGAGCTGTGAGTGAGGCTGCAGTGTCTGACTTAAGGAGGTCCAAGGTAAAACCTGAGCAGCCTCATATTTTTCTCCATTTTCTGCTCTGGTTGAAAGAGGCTTTTTCCAGGGGCAAATGCACATCCCTGTCCATCACAAACCCCAAAGTGCAGCTCTCAGCCTCTTGCAGTCAAAGGGGAACTTGGGATTTAAATTCTAATTTCACCTATAAACTGAAGCACAGCTGGGAGCCAAAGCCCTTTAGAGTAGAGGGGTCTTTCCTCTGGTTCCACCACTCCCAGAAAAATTAGAACATTTGCCCAGCATCATTTAAAGACCTTGTAAAAGAGTATATTAATCCACATGAGGGTCTGTGCACCTCTCCTGCTCCTGTGAAATGTTATGAAGAGCAAATGATGTACCAAACTCTGCAATCTTGGCTTGCTCATCTGCCCAAATGCAGCAATTACAGCAGTAACTGACTGTACCACACTGGAACACTCAGCTCCTGCTGAGTACTTTTGTCCCTGATCAGCCATCACATAAAGTCACAGTTTCCACTGGTGAATCAAGCTAATGACAAAATGCAGGGTTTACATATAATCCAACAACTCAGCAAGCAGCGGTTTCCAAAATGTGAGATACAGGCAGAAATACCCTCTGGAGAAAGGAGAAGGGATTGTGTCACCCTCTGTTCACACACTGCTCCTGGGCACTGCTTTTCCCAGTTCCAGGGGAAAACAGGACAGTACAGAGAGACTTCAGCAGAGTTCATTCCTCATTGTCCAGCATCTCCAGGCTCACACTGAGGATTTCCTTAATCAGACATAAACTCAAGTTGCTTTCTGGTACATTTAATATTTGCATGGGGACATTGCAAGTAGGCAGCTTAATTTGTAAAGATGTTTAATCACGAAGGTCTGGGTTAGAGTTCAAGTGTCTGCACTAAGCTGGAGAAGATCTAAATAAGCAGCAATTGAAACAGTCTGACTCATACAGGGCACTGCTGGACTTTGAAATGGCTGAGTGCTTAAAGCTCTGTTGCGAAGGATTCTTCTTATTTCAGTCTAACAGCAACAGAAGGTACATTTGGGGGGGAAAAAGGCATTTTGGGGAAAGGTAACATCTTCACCTGGTTTCAAGGGCTGCAGACAGTGGATGCCTTTAATCCTGCTGCTGTCAGAAGGGCCAGACTGCTCCGAGTAGCAGCTCCCACCCTTAAAAGGCTGAGCTGAGGCTGGGAGCCAGGAGCAGAGCAGCCATTCCAGTCTGCAGCCTCACAGCTCCGAGGAGACATCGCAGGAGCAGAAGTGCTCCTCTCCCCACGTGGAGCGTGGGTGGCAAGGCAGCAGAGTCCAGACAGGAAAAGGGACATTCCTGATGCAAGAGCCTGAGAACTGCTGGGTGAGAACAGACCCATCTGGAATGGCAGCTGAGGCACAGCACCAGGAACTGCCCTGCCTTGGGATCAGTCCCAGGAATCACAGACAGAGCATGGGCCTTGTTTCTGCATCACTGGATGCAGGTTGTTTATGTCTTGCTTCAACACGTTGGTAGGAGGAAGTGCTCCAGTGGCAAAAGAGACTCTGAGAGTTGCATTGTTCATGTGCAGCAATGTCTGGGCAGCAAACCCACCAGCCTGTCCCACTCCCATATCAGGAGGAAGCTACAGGAAAAAGAGATGGACTCTCTGCCCACTGTGCTAGAGAGGGAGATAGATTCCAGTAAATGTGGCTGGAGAGGTGCTGCTCTGAGGCACAGGCAGTGCTTCAGTTCCTGTGCCACGGCAGAGCTGAGGCTGTGCTTGTTGTGACAGGAAATGAGAGGCACCAGTCACTGGGGCGGGCTGTGCCTGTTCAGCAGCCCCACAGGAGTGTCCCACGCACAGCTCTGCTGCACATCCCTAAAAACAGCACAGGTTGGTCTTTAACCTCAAACCTCAGCCATGGCTAGGCAGGTGAGCAACTGCACTCCTTGGATCTGACCCAAAACAAACCTTGGATCTGCCTCTGAGCACTCCTCTTGCTTTCTGTGGGCAGGAAAGAACTTGATGGTTTCTACAGGGAGTCACCAGGTGACTGCTCCTATCAGGGAGCACCTGGAGCTGTCCCTGGGGCAGCACCATGAGCACCTGGCTGGATGCACCTGCCTTTCTGCCAGGAGAGGGACTGCACATTGCCTGAGCACCTGCTGGATCCTGAAATGGGGAAAAACAGAGCCCTGGGCAGCTTTCAGATGCTCCCATGGCCAGGATCCCCCAGGTGCTCCTCTCTCCTGTCCATCCTGGAATGATGGTGGCACAGGAGGGAGCAGCACAACAGCGCTGCTGTGGGACAGCCAGTACAGAGATGATGAGCACTGCTCCTTTTTGGGATAAGCACATTTCTGCCTGATCAAGAGGTGCCTGAAACCTTTGGAAAGTGGAAGCTGGGGGTTGACTCTGCTCAGATTTTAATCCAGAATTTAAACTCTTGGTAGCAGGGTGTCTTTTTTATTGTTTGCAGTTTCTGGTGAGACAGAGGCCTCCTCCAGAAGCAGCCTCGAGCCTCTGTCCCAGCACCAGTAAGAATTTCCCCCCTTTAAGTGATGTAGGCTGGCAAAATGTTCCATCGTGGCTGCACAGCCCTGACCCCACCAGGCTGGCCCCAAAAACTTCCAGTGAGCAGCAGGGAAATGAAAAACCATCTTTTTATCATCTTGGGGTTAATCCCTGTCTTCTCCCCCGAGCAGCAGGGAAGCACAGGGCAAAGCCCTGCTGGACAAGAATGATCCAGCTCAGAAAGAAGAATTTCTAAACACCACTGGGTCAATGACCACGCCGAATGTCAGGATGGAGAGCAAACAGTGACCTCTGGAAAGTGCTGCATCAGCCTCGGCATCCTGAATGCCACCAGCTCCTCGGGGAAGGGCAGCAATCTGGGAAACGGGCACTGCACAGACATTTCTGCAGCTCTCCGGTTACTTTATGCTAAAATCTTGGGATTTCACAGTCCCACCACAAGCCGGCCCGCGGGGCCCCTCTGCTGTCGTGTCCCAGCACTGCAGAGTTAACTCACACGGCACAAAGATCAGCACTGGCTCCCTGAAAAACACCTCATTTCCAGGGATTTTGATGACATCGCTATAAAAATGACCCAGAAAATTCAGTCTCCCACTCACAGAGCAGAGAAGCCCCGAGGAAACCCTGCAAGGGGCTGTCCCCGATCCACCAGTAACTCACTGCTGGGAAGAACCCAATTCCCACCACCAATTTCCACCTAGAGACCTCTGAGTTACAGTAACCAGCCAAGACTGCTGTATCCTAACAAAAAAAAATATTAAAAAGTATCTTAAAACGGCTTCATTTTCTCTATTGCTACAGAATAATTTGTTCTGTTACCAAATAACCGCACCGAGGGGCCTCTCTGTTATTTAATATCCACCAGGCTGCACAGGACCCTGCTTTGGGAACCACTCCTGACCACTTCCAAAGCACAGCATTTCTGGAAGCCCTCCCCAGAGGAAACAGCCAATACCGAGGCAGAGTGTGTAATATTTTATTGAAACAAACGTGACCTTTATGCCAAGGGCTCCAGGTGAAACGAGCACACTCCAGTGGAGCAGGACGCTGTGCGTGGGGGCTTTGGTGGCCCCAGGGTGCCGTGAAGCTCAGATGGCTGCCATCCTTCAGTTATCACAGTACTGTACCTTTACAAGAGACAGCATCAGCACTGTGATAACTGAGCCAGGGCAGCCTGGCAGTCATTGGCCCCTCCGTGGCACTGCCGAGTCCTCGGTGTCCTCCTCCCTCAGTGTCCCAAAAACCCCACGTCACCCCACAGGTGAAAGCCTCAGGAGCCTTAACACAAGTGGCTTTGCAGCTGAGGTTCACTCCAGGAAATCATCCACATAATTAGTGTTAAATCTTAATGACCACGGCGGCTTCCGAGTGGTTTTAAGCAGCAGCTCCTTGTGGGCAAATCCACCCACGCTGGCTTTAATGGAGAGAGAGTAACCCCCCCTGCTCCAGGGGACAGCCCTTCCTCCCCCTTAAATCCAGGCAGCCAGCAGCACTTGGCTCATGCTGCCGAGTGCTGGGTGTCAGGGAGCAGTGGGGACAGTGGCAGGCAGCCAGGAGAGCTGCTGGAGCCGCTCTGGGACAGCGGCATCACGGCGGGCACGGCCCCGACGGCGGCACCAGCCCCAAGGGTGGCACCGGCACCGTGCCCTGAGCCCGCCAGGCTCCTGCTGCCTGTTTTTCCAGCCATTCCTGGAGTGCCCAGCCCACAGCCTCACTGGGCTGCTCTGGAGCCTGGCACGTGTGTGTGTGTGTGTGTGTGTGTGTGTGTGTGCACAGGCAGCAGGGCTGATCCTGCCGTGCCCTCCCAGGGGAGCAGCTCCCAGGGCCGGCTGTGCCCACAGGGACTGCAGGGAGCAGCCTCCAGGTGCCTGAGCTGGCATTTTCAGGTCATCAAATCCACATAAAAACATTTGGAATGCACAATCCCACTAATTAGGTAAATTGCAAGCTTCCATCAACCTATATTTACTCCCCCCCATTGTTTTTTTTCACTTCCTTAAAAACAGGCACTGCTGAAAAGATCATGGAACTATTCCTCCACCCACCACTTTGTTGTGTATTTCTACAACTTTACCCCCTCTTGGCTTTTTTTTTCTTTCCTAAAACCAGGCATTCCTGAAAACATCACAAAATTATTTCTACCACCCCCACGTTGCCTGAGGGAATTGGATACATCAAGTTCTGAAATGAGTTTAAAAAAACACAAGGGTTTCATGCTGCCAGAGTTAATGTGTTACTAAGTTTCCAATAAAAGTCCATTTATGATGTTGATGGAGCAGCACAAGAAGCTTCCATGTTTCCACCAGCAGGAAGCAGAAACTCCAAAAATTGTTTGTTTGTTTTTTTTTAACACTCTAAATAACTCACCTGGCAAAGAGAGGGTGTTGAGATGTCCCAGAGGCTGTTTTTAAGAGAGAAACACAAAACACTGGGCTGGATCCAGCCGTGAAAACGCTGCCTTACAAGTTTGCAACTCCAGAGGGCAACGGAGAGGCAAACGTGGAATATCGGAGCAGCAGCACGCAGGGGAAAAAAAAAAACATTTGCACATTTTAAAACAAACTCCAAACATACATTACATAAAAGGGGGACAGTCAACAGATTATGCAATGCTGACGTCAGGCAGCACAGATGACTTCAGCATGCATCCCCAAATTTGCAGATTTGCCACAGTTTAGGGATTAATCATTAAGGAATTGGCTGTTGCTAGGAAAGCACAACAAAAACTTGCTAAAAATATTAATGGATTCTGTCCGTGCAAGGGTGGGTTTTGAAAAGGAAAGGAGCTGCATGAGCAACGAGCCCTTGGCTCTCACTCCCAGGTGTTCTCACACCACCATTGGTATTCCAGGCGAGGAATTCTACTAATTTCAGCATGGCTTAAGTGTGGGATTGGGAATTCTACATCTCACAGGCTGAGGTGATGAGAGAAGAATCGCTGCTTTGCAATTCAAGCATGCTTTGATCACTCTATCAGGATTTTACTGCTCCAGCAGTTCCTTATCAGGGGTTTTAAAGGGAGAGGGGGAACAATTCCTCCCCAGCACCCTCTGCAACAGCAACTCCTGGAGTCACACCCATATTCCAAGGGCTGATGCCATTTTCTCTGGAGGACCCAGCTCTTCCCCCAGTTCAAATACATTTTGCTGTCTTGCATCTCACACACACACACAGATTTTTGCTTTGCTTCAGCCAGACTAAAGCTACACAGACCTGATGCAGAAAGCTCAAGCAGGTTCTCCATTTATCTGGAAAAAATCACCTTTTTTATAACAAACCCCACATTAGTTTTGGAGTCCGGCACACATTTTTGTTCTTATTATTGCTAAGGCAAATTTCCATACACTTTTTAAAAAAAACCCTCCAGTTTCCAGTGTTTGCTGCCAGTTCTCACCTTTGAAACCCGTTTAAGTCGGCCTGGCTGGTTTTTAAACTCCAGTTCCACCTCCTGCCCCTTTGGGGCTGGTGATATTTTTGCAGTTGTTTCATAGGAACCAAAATTCCTTCGGCATCCCAGCGATGGGGCTGGGGACATTCCCTGCCCACAGCCCCGGGGCTGGTCCCTCCCCACCCCTACGCACGGGCCGAGGATCTCCGAGCGCTGCGAGCTGCTCTCACCCTGCGCGGGCTCGTGAGGTGCCTGAGGGGAACAAACCTCATCTCCATCTTCCCCGGCGCGCTTTGAGCACGAATCCCGGCGAGCCTGAGGAGGGAAGAAAACAAACATCTGGTGACGGGGATCCAGCGGCGTGCGGGCGGTGACACGGCCGGCGGCGGGCACGGGGGCGCTGAGGGGCGGCGGGGCCCGGGCCGCCACCGCCGCTCCCTCCCAACTTCGCTGCCAGGGCGCTGCCCGAGCTTACCTGGAGCGGGGAGGGGGAAAGCCGGGCAGCAGCCGCGGGACGGGACGGGATGGGACGGGACGGGAGAGGACGGGGAGCCCCCATGCCGCGGAGCGCCCCCCGCCCCGCTCGCCCCTCAGCGGCGCCGGGACCCGCCCGGGGCAGGGGGGGGCGGCGGCCCCGCCCGCGCAGCCCCCGAAAATGCGAGTGCGCCACGGGGCAGCGCCGCGCCCGGCGCCACCGGCCCCGCGCCCCCCGCCGCCGGCCGCCCACCCCGCGGTGCCCGGGGCCGCGCCGGGCCGGACCCACCTGCGGGCGCGGCGGGGCCGGGGCGCGACATGACGCAGCACGGGCGGGCGGGCGGCGTGAGCGCCGCCATCTTGCCGTGTTTATGGCAGCGCCGCGCGCCCACGTGACCCGCGCCCGCTTCCGGGGGCGGCGCGGGGGCGCGCGCGGGCGGGGGGGGGGAGAGAGCCGGGGAGCGGCGCGCGCGCCCCCGAGCGCGGGCACGGCGGCACCCGCGGGGGCGCGCACCGGGCATGGACACGGTGTGGGCAAGGTGTGGGCACGGCCTGGACACGGTGTGGGCACCGGGCTGCGCCCGCCGGGACACCGCGGGCAGTGACACACACACACACAGTGACACGCACGGAGTGACACACGCATAGTGGCAGACACACACAGTGACACAGACAACGACACACTCACACAAAGTGACACAGACAGTGACACACACACAGTGACACACACACAGACACAGAGGGAGTGACATTCTGCACCGAGGAAGGGACACACACACACAGACGGGGTGACACACGCGCACACAAGGAATGGCACCCGCGGAGCCACACACGCAGAGGGAGTCACGCACACACACACACACACACACACACACAGAGCGAGTGACACGAACACCCACAGTGACACAGACGCACGCACAGGGGGTGACACAGACACTCCCCGCGGTGTCACCAGCGCCGAGCAGCCCCTGGGCACGGCGGGCTGTGCGCTGCCAGGCTGCTGGCAGGCTGTGCACCACCTCCAGGCTCTGTGTGTGTGTGTGTGTGTGTGTGTGTGTGTGTGCCATCCACAGGTTGTACCTCCCCGGGCTGTGGTTTTTTAGCTGTACATCCACAGGTTGTACCTCCTCCCCAGCTGTGCTTTCCAGCTGTACATCCACAGGTTGTACCTCCTCCCCGGGCTGTGGTTTTTTAGCTGTACATCCACAGGTTGTACCTCCCCGGGCTGTGGTTTCCAGCTGTACATCCACAGGTTGTACCTCCTCCCCGGGCTGTGGTTTCCAGCTGTACATCCACAGGTTGTACCTGCTCCCCGGGCTGTGCTTTCCAGCTGTACATCCACAGGTTGTACCTGCTCCCCGGCTGTGCTTTCCAGCCGTGCATCCCCATCCCGCACGCCCACGGCCCCGTGTTCCGCCCGTCCGCAGGTTGCGCCCGCCGCCGCCGCGCCCGCCCCGGTGGTCGCGGTCCCCCGTGATTCCCCCCCGGCTCCCAGCGGGCTCGGCCGTGCCGGGCGTGCGGGACGTGCCCCGGGAGCCGCTTCCATGGGCGGCGCGGCTCGGGCGAGCCGGGACGCTGCGAGCCGAGATGCGCCGGAGCGGGGCACACCGGGCCGGGACGCACCGAACCGGGACGCGCCGGGCCGGGCCGTGCGGAACCACGGGGGCCCCGTCGGGCCGGGGGATGCGCGGGCGGCTCCGGGACTACAAATCCCAGGGTGCCGCGGCCCGAGGGGGCGGGCGGGGGGAGCGGCCGCGGGGTCCCCCCGCCCTGCTGATGTGTCCGGGCGGCGCGGGGGGAGCGCGGCCGGGGCGGCTGACGCGTGTCCTGCCCCGCAGCGCTCCGGCGCCCGCAGCCGGCCATGGCCTCCAAGCTGCTGCGGGCCGTGGTGCTCGGCCCCCCCGGCTCGGGCAAGGGCACGGTGTGCGAGAGGATCGCCCGCAGCTTCGGGCTCCAGCACCTCTCCAGCGGGCAGTTCCTGCGGGAGAGCCTCGGCGGCGGCGGCGGTGAGTGCCCGCGGGGCCGCCCCGTCGGCACCGGCACCGGCAGCGGGAGCGAGGGGTCCCTGCCCGCGCATCTCCGGCGGGGCAGCGCTGGGACGGGGTGGGGATGCGGATGGAGATGGGGGCGGGATGGAGACGGGGATGGATGGGATCCGCGTCCGCGGCGGGTGCACCACAGGTTGTTTTCTTCCCGTGCGTTTGGCACAGCTCATTCATCGCCTGCTCCCTCCTGCCGGAGCTCACGAAGCCGCTCGGGAGCAGCGGGATCGGAAGCCGCGGGTGCCGTGGGTGTGCCGTGGTTCTCTCATCGCCGTGCGGGGTGGTCGCGGCTCCGGAGAGGCCGGTGGAGACCCCAGCTGGCCGCGCACCCAGGGCGATGGGCCGGCGCCGTGCGGGGCTCGGGGCGTGTGCTGTGGTTATCAATAACTCCATGCTGCCCCGGGGATGCGCGGCAGATGGCTGGGATGCTGCGGCATTCCCACGGCGGCACGGATGCATTGGGAAGGAGCGTTTGTCCGGAGGGAAAACCTGCCGGGAATATCACGGGCTGCCCTGGCCGGGTCCCAGGAGCGGCGAGCGGCAGCAGATGGTGTCAGCACCCACCTCGCACAGGCACCCCCGCACACCCGGCTTTCCGCCTGGGCAGTGCTGCCTATCCCGTGTCAGACACCCGAACCCAAACCCCTGGGAGCCGGGATGTGCTGTGCCCGTGTCCCTCGGGCGGTGAGCGGCTCCCGGTCCAGGCTCGGCTCGGGAGCGGCCGTGCTGAGCCCCAGCTCGGCGGGATTGGGCAATCCCGGCGCGGTTCTTTTCCCAACACTTCCTTCTGTCCTCTGCTAATGCGTGAAACACCGGCCCGGGGGGAAGCTGACTCACCGGGCAGGGGAGCGGTGAAACGGTCTCGGTGCAAAACAAGCCGAGAGGATTTAGAAGTGATTTCTATTTTAGAAGGATGGCAAAAACAGAGAGGAAAATGGGCAGGATAAAGTTTTGGAGAGGTGCATGGTCCGGCAAGGGCGTTGCACACAGCTCTGCGCTGGTCACTCATGTAAAAATACCCAGATTTCCTTTTGTAAATAAATAGGACAATAATGTTTTCTTTAGAGGGAGGCTCAAAATTTGGAAATTTTCGATGAGGGCTTTGGCTGAAGGACAGAAATCTGGGCTGGAAAGCAAGGAGAGGTGCAGCAAGTGGAGAGGGGCAGCCGGTGCCTACCCAGGAGCTGCCACAGCCAAGCTCTGAACCACCAACTGTCCCAAACTTCACTTTTCAGCCCATGCTCTTGCCACAGAGCTCCTCTGGGGACACTGAGAAGCACTAAGAGTTAGCTGAAGGTGTCTTGGGTGCATTCAGAAGGAAACAACACGGAGAAATGCAGGGAAAATTACTCAGAAGGAAACCAGCCGTGGTTTGGTTCATCTGGCGTGACATTTGGGTCCCACCTTTGACTCAGCCTCTGTAACAGCTCTCACTGAGCTCCAGTTATTTGGTGGGGTTTTTTTTAGTTTTTGTTTTTGTTTTTTTTTCTGCTATTTGCTTTGGACAAGCTGTTACATGACTGTGCTCCGGGGGAAACGAGGTGGAAGCAGCTCCTCTTCCCAAGTTTATCAGCTGCGTCACCGGCTTTGTGCTTGTGGGGAGCTGGGGCTCTGCAGAACCAACAGACCCATTACAGGCTCATCATCCCAAAGGCAACTGTGAATGCTGTGTTTTGACAGGGATCTTGGCCTGGTGTGTCAGTGCTCCAGGGATTTTCCTGCTGGCCACTGCCAGGCATGAAGTGGCCACAGCTGAGGGTTTGGGGGCACAGGAGGCTCCTGCTGCGGGAAGAAGGCTGGGTTCCCAGCATGGAGAGCATTCCAGGCTGCTGCTGGAGCTGCTGGTGGTGGTCTCAGGGAACAAAGAGTCACTTTTGGGGCAGGTGAAGCAGCTGAGTGCACGGCTGCTGCTGGAGGGCTTTGAGCTGTGCTCCAGCAGCCCCCAGGCACATCGGCCCCCAGCCGTGTGTCCCCTAATTAGTGCCTGTCAGCAAGTGGCTGCTCTGCTCCAGGGAAAGGCCTTTGAAACACCTTGGAAAACTGACAGGCTGTGTTTTGGTGCCAGGCAGGGGTGCTGGAGGGTGGTGAGCCATTTTTCTGGCCAGCATTTGCCCCGGAACCCTGGTGGTTGTCTCTGGTGTTGGCAGCATCCCCAGGTCTTAGCAGGACTCTGCAGCTCATTTGCCAAACTACTGAATTGCTTGTCCTGGCTTTGTGGGGTCTTCTGCCTGTCCCACTGCTCCCTGTCAGGTGCTCTCGTGGAGCCAGAAGTGGCTCCTGTCCCCTCCTCATGACAGATTTCCTCTGTGAGCATCCACCAAAGCATGAACAAAACAAAATTCCCTGGGGGATGTGGGCTGTGCATGGCCCCACAGCCCTTCTGCACACCTTGCCCACAGATTGTGGCCTTTGCTGGCCACACTGGCCTGGTTGGTGGCCAAAGCTGAGCCCAGGGATGCTGCCAGCCAGTCCCTGCTGAATCCCTGTGTGTGGGAGCAGTGCTCTGACCACAGGGATCTCTCCCAGTCCTTCCTGTTGCCCTCCAGACAGAATTCACACAGAATTCACAGAATCACTGGGTTGGAAGAGACCTCCAAGACCATTGAGTCCAACCCAGCCCCAGCACCCCAACTCACCCCTGGCCCCCAGTGCCACATCCAGGCTTTGTTAAACACACCCAGGATGGGGACCCCACCACCTCCCCGGGCAGCCATTCCAGAACTTTATCACCTTTCTGGAAAAAGCTTTTTCCTGATATCCAGCCTGTATTTCCCTTGGTGCAGCTCGAGGCTGTGTGCTCTGGTTGTGTCAGTGCTGCTGGAGAAGGAGCCCAGCCCCAGCTGAGCACAGGCACCTTTCAGACCCCACTGTCCATCCTGCAAGCCTGAATCTGGGGCCACATAAAGCTCCTGCTCCCTAAAATCACCTCCTGATGCTGAGGGCAGGGTGGGTGCAGCATCTGAGTCAGGAAAAGGGTCCCAAAACTGGGGTGACACCTGCTGTGGTTTGACTGTGCTGGTGCATTGGTGCCCCATTCACCCCCAGGGTTCCTCCTCTCTGTTAGCTCCAGACTGGGGTGCTGTAGCCTAAATATTGG